ATGGCAAGGACTCAGCCAACAATCAGCTCCAGGAAGATCAAAGAAGGTGTAAAGTTACCTGTGAGTACTGTTACAATTAGAAGACGCCTATGTGAAGCCAAGCTATCTGCAAGAAGCCCCCGCAAAGTCCCACTGTTGAAAAAAAGACATGTGCTGAAGAGGTTACAGTTTGCCAAAGAGCACATTGACTGGCCTAAAGAGAAATGGCGCAACATTTTGTGGACTGATGAAAGTAAGATTGTTCTTTTTGGGTCTAGTGGCCGGAGACAGTTTGTCAGATGACCCCCAAACACTGAATTCAAGCCACAGTACACTGTGAAGACAGTGAAGCATGGTGGTGCAAGCATCATGATATGGGGATGTTTCTCATACTACGGTGTTGGGCCTATTTATCGCATACCAGGGATCATGGCTCAGTTTGAATACATCAGAATACTTGAAGAGGTCATGCTGCCTTATGCTGAAGAGGAAATGCCCTTGAAATGGGTGTTCCAACAAGACAACGACCCCAAACACACCCAGTAAACGTGCAACATCTTGGTTCCAGACCAACAAGATTGACGTTATGGAGTGGCCAGCCCAATCCCCGTATCTTAATCCAATAGAAAACTTGTGGGGTGACATCAAAAATGCAGTTTCTGAGGCAAAACCAAGAAATAGAGAAGAACTGTGGAATGTAGTCCAATCATCCTGGGCTGGAATACCTGATCACAGGTGCCAGAAGTTGGGTGACTCCATGCAACACAGATGTACAGCAGTTCTCAGAAACAGTGCTTATACAACTAAAAATATTCATTAAGTGATTCAAAGGAAAGCAAAATCTTCAAACATTTTTCAGTTTATATAGTGAATGTTTGAGTTTGTAAAGAAGAATATAAACACTGCTATTTTTTTTGAACAGCCTAATATTCACTTTTCTTCAATTTTTTTTTTTTAGAGGAACAACACAAATTTGATATATTTTTCTTCATGTTTTGATTTGGAATAGAATGTGTAGTGTTCCCAATGCATTTGTGTGTATGGAAATAAAGCTATTAGAAGGATTTTGAGCTTTATTCACTTTTTTCAACACACTGCTATTATTTTGAAAACAACTGTATATGTTTTAGGGCAGTGTTCCCTGCTGCAAATGGGCTCCAGGTGTACCTCGGTTTACGAATTTAGTGCGTTCTCCAAACAATTCGTAAACTGAAACGCGGTTTCCCATAGGAATGCAATGAAAACCAATTAATCTGTTCCAGAGGTCAGAAAAAAATTTACAAAAAAAGTCGCTGTCACAATAGGTCAGTGCTGGTTTTTGAATGTAATACCAGCTTTTTTTTTTTCTTCATTCAGAGAATCAGCTGTCACTTTCCTCCCAGCTAAAAGAAAGTTTCCTTTTAGTTTATTTCCCTCAGTTAAAAGAAACAATGTTTCCTTTTAGTTTGTCTTCCGAGATAAAAGAAACAAAGTATCCTTTAGCTCCAGGGAAAGTGACAGCTAATTCTGTGAGCTATAGTGAAGAAAAAAAAAAGCTGGCAATTGTATTTAAAAATAAGCACTGACATAAACTTCGTATTGCGAAAAAAAAAAAAACCGAAGAATTATTTTCAATGGATTTTCATATGTAAATGTTAACCGAGGCGTTCGTAAACCCAGGTACAACTGTATGGTCTATGAGGGGTGTAACACATTTGTCCCCATCACATTTTACATATGAAAAAGTGTGTGCAGTGCTCACTATAAACAAAATTGCTAGGAGAGAGACAGGAAAAGGTTGTTTTTAGCAAAAGAAACATGAAAACTTTCTTCTGCTAGAAAATTTTATTTCCTAGCTATTTTTTAAGTAGCACTTTAACCCCTTTTCACTGGCTCCCACTAGCACTTTACAAGCTTCTTTATGCTGGAGGCAGGTAGGTGGTCTCCTGATGAGATCAATGTGGTTGACTGCCACAGTGGTCATTGGACCAGGAGCCTATCCAACTGGCTCCCAATCATAAACAGAGACCCGGAGCTGTCAGTGACAGCTTGTTCGCAGTGCTTTTAACTGTATGCATATACAGTGGGGAAAATAATTATTTGATCCCCTGCAGATTTTGTAAGTTTGCCCACTTACAAAGAAATGAAGAGTCTATGATTTTTATTATAGGTGTATTTTAAATGCTAGAGAGACAGAATATTAATAAAAAAATCTAGAAAAAAAACGCAAGATACACGTTATAAATTGAGTTGCAGTTCAGTGAGTAAAATAAGTATTTGATCCCCAAGCAAAACATGACTTCGTACTTGGTGGAGAAACCCTTGTTGGCAAGCACAGAGGTAAGACAATTCTTGTAGTTGGTTACCAGGTTTGCACACATCTCAGGAGGGATTTTGGTGCACTCTTTTCTTACAGATTTTCTCTAAATCCTAAGGTTTCTTAGCTGTTGCTTGGTAACGCAAAGTTTTGGCTTCCTCCATAAATTTTCTATGGATTAAGGTCTGGAAACTGGCTAGGCCACTCTATGACCTTAATGTGCTTCTATTTGGTGTGGCACCTTTATTGCCTTGGCAATATGTTTTGGGTCACTGTTATGCTGGAAGACCCATCCACGACCCATCTTCAGTGTTCTGGCTGAGGGAAGAAGGTTCTCATCCAAAATTTTACAATACATGGCCCCGTCCATTGGCCCCTCAATGCGGCAAAGTCGGCCTGTGCCTTAAGCAGAGAAACAGCCCCAAACCATAATGTTTCCACCTCCGTACTTGACTTTAGGGATGGTGCTCTTAGGATCATAGTCAGCATTTTTCTTCCTCCAAACACGGGCAAGTCGAGTTAATGCCAAAGAGCTCAATTTTGGTCTCATCTAACCACAACAACACTTTCTCCCTTTCCTTCTTTGAATCATTTAGATGTTCATTGGAACACTTCAGAAGGGCCTGTACATGTGCTTTCTTGAGGAGGGGACCTTGCAGGCACTGCAGGATTTCAATCCATGGCGACGTATTGTGTTACCAATGGTTTGTTTGGTGACTGTGGTCCCAACTGCCTTGAGATCATTCACAAGCTCCTCCCTTGTAGCTCTGGGCTGATCCATCACTCCTCTCAGAATCATTACCCCGTGAGGTGAAATCTTGCATGGAGCTCCAGACCAAAGGCAATTGATGGTTATTCCTTCCATTTGCGAATATTCGCTCCAACAGTTGTCTCCTTTTCACCAAGCTTCTTGCTGATGGTCTTGTAACCAATTCAAGCCTTGTACAGGTCTACAATCTTGTCCCTAATGTCCCTTGACAGCTCTTTGGTCATTTGCCCATGGTGATGGTGAGATTTGAATAGAAGATTCTGTGGACAGGTGTCTTTTATACACATAACAAGTTGTCCTTAGGAGCACCTTCTTAAATTGACAGGACTAATCTGTGTACCACATGAGTACATAGGCAGTCTGTAGGAGCCACAATTATTGTTGGTTGGTAGGGAATCAAATACTTATTTTACTCACTGAACTGCAACTCAATTTATAACATTTGTATCATGTGTTTTTTCTGGATTTTTGGTTGATATTCTGTCTTTATCATTTAAAATACACCTATGATAAAAATTATAGACCCTTCATTTCTTTGTAAGTGGGCAAACTTGCAAGGGATCAAATAATTATTTTCCCCATTGTATGTGGTAGCAAGTTGTTAATGTCCACTGCACTCCTGCCACATATTTGCATACAGCTGGTGGCAATAGGTTTAAGGATGCAAGTTCAGGTTAAAGCTGAATTCCAGCCTTCCCAATCAATCTAGCACAGTTGTACAGGCTCCTCTCCAGTACTGAAATTAATTACTCTGATTTCACTGCACTCTGTAAGCTTTTTGCAGTGTGCATTAGGAGCTGCAGCAAGTCAGATAGAGCCCACCTGTCCAGCATCATCTACCCCTTTCCTCCCCAGCCTGACGATCCCTGGCTCGCTCTTTTACTCATTGGATTTGAGTTCTTTTAATCAAGGAGGCTCAGCATCACACATGGGCTTTACCCTAGGACAATGAGGTAGATGTACTAAAACTTGTGCACTCAGAATCTGGTGTAGCGGTTCATGGTAGCTAAACAGCTTCTGACTTTAGCTTGTTCAATTAAGCTTGGTCAATAAAACCTGGAAGCTGATTGGTTTCTATGCAGAGTTGCACCAGATTTTACACTCTTCAGTTTTAGTAAATAACCCCCAGTGTGCGGAAGAATGCCCACTCCTTCAGACTGATATTCATTCATCAAAGCAAAATTAACATCTCCATAAAGCTTCCCAAGATCCAGCCCACTGCTTGTATCAAGTCTTAGGGCTCTATAGGGCTCCCTCCACCAGTCAGTTTGCCTGTGTTGCATAGAGAAATACCATGACCCAAGGATAATGTCACTGGGTCTAAAATAAAGTATGTAATGAAAACAGATCTTATTTAAAAATGTTATTAGCAGGATGTTGAGGGGGTGGGGAAGAAAAACCAGAGAAGGCAAAGTATAAGCAGATTAAACCTCAGCTTTAATACCCTGGTGGGTCAGAGGGCTGGCAGATGTCTTACTGCCTGGCACTTCTGGTGCAAAATCTATCCATCTTCTGCTGGCCTGGGAGTGATGCTTGCAAAGACTTATACAAGGAGGCAGCCACTGATAGTATAGGAAAACACAACTCTTACATTGTACCTAAATCCAAGAATACAAATTGTACATTTTGCAGCTAACCAGTCCTTAGGTGTGCGGCTGATCTTTTGTAAGGCAATTACCCTTTTATTTTCATCTAGTAATCCTGACAGTAACACTTTTCCTGCCCTAGGGTGACATCACCATTTTGTATTTATGGAGAAGCACCGTTGTCACCCTAGAAAAGAAAGTAAGTTATCAGTTCACAAGATTTCTGGCAGGATCAGCAGGTATTTTTGCGCTTACGAAAAGCACCTATAACACACTTTTTAATGGTATATTTAATGGGCCAAAGGACAGCAAATTAGAGACGTTCTTTGGTAGGGGTTACATGCACTTTTATTTCAGCACTCACCTGCAATTACATCTCTCCACACTGAGCGATAACCACTGGCAGTTTGGGTTTATTGTTGGGACCGGTTGGTACATTCTAGGAGAAAGAGAAGACGGTTACAGGTGAAAGATAGTCCAATGTATACACTTGGCTGACTCATACAACTCTACCAGTCACATTCTTCACATGTCCATAAAAGAGAGTTCCTTATCACCTTTAGCGTTCATAGGTGTAAGGGAGTGCTGCATCCTCACCACACATCCTAGAATCAAAGTCTACAAAACGACAACACAAACTATATACAGGAATTCAACTTGCAAACATTCTTGTGCTAAAAACAACATCTGAAATGGATATTTCTGTTTGTGGAAATGTGAGCAGAAAGAATTATATATATACACTCACACTTCCAATCTACCTTTCTGAAACAGATTGTTTAGCAGGATCAGGTATCCAAATCACTAGTTCTGACTTCACTCCAACTTCAAGAGTTCTGGGTCAGTGACAATGACAGCCAGCTTATTCCCTTATGACATATTCTTGAAAGTGGTTGTAAAGGCTGAAAGTTTTTAACCTTAATGCATTCTTTGCATTAAAAGGTAGAAAACCTTTTATTGTCAGCTCACCCCACCCAGCCCCCCTCAAATACTTACCTGAGCCCGATCTCGATCCAGTGCTGTGCCTAAGAGTGGTGGCACTCTGGACTCGGTGAAAGCAATGAGCGCCATAGGCTCCTGCAGATGTCAATCAAATCCAGTGACAAGGAAGCGGGTGGCAGAGCCAAGCCGCACTGTGTGTATATAAACACACACAGCCTGGCTAGGGATCAAAGTAGCACATGTGCCACCATAGAAAGCAACTTCCTATAGTGGCACATGAAGAAGAGGAGCAGTGGTGGCGGGAGACCCAAGATAAGGAGGCTCAGGGCTACTCTTTGCAATGAGGGAGTAAGTATGACGTGTGTCATCTACAAAATTCAATTTTAATTTACAATCACTTTAATAACCAGTTTACACTAGAACATGCGCATTCTTGTTTTGACAGCCCATTCATTTCAATGGGCTGCTAAACGTACCAGAACCTGGAAAAATTAGTATAGGCACTAATTTTGTAAGCTGCACTGAACAAAACCACATGGTATGGGAGATGTTTTTGGAGGTGCCATTACCAATTAAAGACACCTGCGCATGTCTCGTAAGGGCAGCGTGTGCAGTGCAGGAAATGCACATGGAATTCACTTTTCTTGCACAGTGTTCTATTGTGAACCAGCCCTATAGCTGAACTCTGGGAACTGCACAAATTCTATCTTTGCAGTGGGCCGCCGAATAATTCTGTCCAGCCAGTTTTTTGATTCATCCCTCCGTCTGCAAAGCTGCATAGACAGGAGTTTGACACCGCTATTCATTGCTGCAGATTTGCAACATCCTGCACCAACTCAATGAACTTTGGATGAGGATCACACCCTGCTGAGTTTATCCATTTTCTTCTAGATGCATACAGTTCACATGAATCAACAGGGCACATGCCAGCATTATCAACTCACAATATTTTAAGAGTACAATAAAAAATATATATATATAATTAAAAAAAACTACCTCTCCTAAGCTCCCTTATGTGTCTTAAAGCCTAAGCAAAATACCTCACATGGTCTCTGGCTACCAGCAGCATTGCACATCATTGAAAATTGCAGATTCTCTGGTTTTCCACCAGACTTTAGGCCCAGATTAATAAACTATAACAATCTTTATTTGCTATAACAACATTTATTTTTTAGCAATGAAAGCCAATAAACACTGAAAAGCACACTCACACGGTCGGAGCAAAAAAAAATAAAAAGGAATTACAGAAGATAACACATACTTAGTGGTTTAATGAAATAATGTAATGAAATGAGCCTCCTAGCAGACAGACAATAAGATAAAAGGGTGAACAAAGCACAACCATTGTGCAACACCACTAAGCATACTAAAGTGTCTGCATACATAACAAACAAATATGGCCATTTCAATACAAACTATGCACAAAAAAACAATGTTGTTAATGCATTCCCCCATGGCAAGAATTGTTGCATTAAAGTGCCCCAGGAGCATCATGTGCACAATTATGCACAGAATACTTGTACAAATGGTGCTCTTATCATGTAAAGTACCACACTCCAGGGATGTGACATCCAGGATGATTTTCATTGGTGGTGATTCCATTCTCCGTCTTCTTGAGTCTTCATATGCACTGCTTGGCTAGGCAGGGGTGACTAGTTAGCCATGCACTGCTCTAAATTCAGAGGGTACAATAGGGACATGCTGAAGTTTGATCTGTCAAGTGGGGGAGCCGAAATACTGAAGTCAAATGTTTAACTGACTTCTGTTAAAGAGACATAGGGGTTGATTTACTTAAACTGGAGAGTGCAAAATCTGGTGCAGAAACCAATCAGCTTCCAGGTTTTATTGTCAAAGCTGAAATGAGCAAGCTGAAGTTAGAAGCTGATTGGCTACCATGCACAGCCGCACCATATTTTGCACTCTCCAGATTTAGTAAATCAACCCTATAGTGGAAAATGTTCAAATGATCAGTCGCTGTCAGAGTACAATGTCCCAGAGAAGGGGGATGCCGCCATCCACCTTGCTTGTGTGTATGGCCAGCTTTACACTCAGCATGCATTAGATCCTGCAATTGTACACTGCTCTGCACATGCAAGGCTTTGTCAATGTTCGTAAAAAAAAAAAAAAAAAAATGATGGCAGAAAAGACAAAAAATTCTCTTCTATCATAAATAAGTGTTAACAGTTTTTTACATTTCATGTTTAATTTCGCTTTAGGCTGAGCTCTTCCACATGTACCTAAAAACATTAAAAGGATAAGTTCGCCTTTGGGAACATGTTACATGTTCCACCCATTTTTAGTGTGCAACATGTAACATGTTTCCATAGCTGCAGCCTCCCCCCCCTCTGACAGATAGTATGGGGAGAAGTTTCCCTGGACTATCTCTCAGATTTGAAAACAGTGTGGCCGTGCGGGGCTACACCCACATGGCTGCGTCACTCATTCAGAGTTCTATGAATGAGTGCAGCAAAAACAAAAAAGAAGCGCACCAACCTTGCGCATTACCTCGGTAAACCACATTTTATTGAATACAAAGATATACTCACAAACAATGAAGTATTTCAAGCATGTAAGTTCTCAGAGGAACTATGGAATGGTAGAACCTGCGCGAGTCCCATCATAGGGGTGGACACTCAGGGAACAGCTGAAGCGTTTCAAAGGGTGTCCCTTCTTCATCAGAGCTTCCCCAGCCTTGTTTGGAGCTGCACAACCCCATTTGCACAGGTGGTCGAATTTTTTCAAGTTCTGGTTCCATCTTTCCACCTCCTTTGGGTCTCTGAGCGCAGGAGAGTTTGTTTCTATTTCTATGAATGAGTGCCTACAAGTCCTGACACCCTTAACAGCTGTCGGCTTGTAGTTTTCAATGAACTACCATGGTGCTGTGGAGCGCTCTGGTAGTTCATTGAAGCTTCCTGTCAGAATATCGGCTTCCTCGTACATCCCGTACGGCAAGCAGATATTCTGACAGGTCTGCAGGAGCCCTGCATGGCATCAGCGATCTACTGTTTGCTGGTGCAATGCTTTCTCCTGCAGACAAAAATAATAAATGAACATTTTTTTTTACCTGCAAAAAAATATGCATTTATTATTTGTCAAAAAGGTGAACTTATCCTTTAACAAAACTGTTGTTGTCCTTTAATGAATCCCTAATTTGACTAAGGGGTGGTTTCTAGTTTTTTGCATGCAATTCAGCTTTAATCCAGCCCTATCCGTTGCCTTTGTCAGTTACAGATATTCAACAAGAATATTCCAATATGCCGGTTACCATGATACAAGGACGAAGGAAGCTCCATGTGCTCAGCACTTAAGCTAAATCTATTGCTCTTTTACAGCTAAGCTATCATTAGCGAGGGAGATGGATGCTTGCCAGAAAGCAGGTGACCTGTACTTTCACAAAAACATGTTGATAATTTTCAAAGCCCAGTGGAAATGGATTATGTGCAGCACACTGCACTGTATTTTTGCATTAAAAGAAACCTAAGGGCATAAAGGTGGCGCAAACAAAAAATAACGGGGCATAAGACCTTGCTGCCGTTAGCCCATTCCTCTACTGCCGATTTTGCGCAAAAAACAAAATCCCTTCCACAGGTCTACCATATACAGTACATTGCAATTGGTTTTTGCAAACGTCAGGCCAGATTACTGCCCACTTCAGGTCTGTAGATACTTGGTGGATGAACGCAAATAAGTGGGGTGTTCTGGATTTATTGATGTGGATGATCCTCCATGCTGTAGTCAAACACTCGCCCAGTATGCCTCTTGTTGTGTAGCACCCCTGGCAAGTGTCTCACCAAAGATGAGAGGGACAACTCAGAAAACTGAAGGATGGTGCTACTAATGGTGGGGCAATGCCTCAAAGGCTTCTGGGAAAAGCAGTAAGAAGCAAGCAAATTACACAAACAAGGGTAGAAGACTTCTGTGATGTTTTGTACACAGAATACAATGACTACACAGAAGAAAAAAACATGGCTAAATGGTTAGCACTTCCGCCTGGCAGTACTAGGGTCGTTGGTTAGAATCTCAGCCACGGCACCACCTGCCTGGAGTTTGCATGTTCTCCCTGTGACTGCGTGGGTTTCCTCCGGGTACTCCGGTTTCCTCCCACACTCCAAAGACATGCTGTTAGGTTAATTGGCTCCTGTCTAAAAAAAAAAAAAAAAAATTGTCCCTAGTATGTGTATGCGAGTTAGGGACTTTAGATTGTACGCCCCTTGAGGGTTAGGGACCGATGTGAATGTACAATATATATATATGTAAAGCGCTGCGTAAATTGACAGCGCTATACAAGTACCTAAAATAAATAAATAAATTATGGCAATATTTAAAAAACAATCATAGCTGGCTGCAGATTAAAAGGGAAATTTAATTTGAAAAAAATCACATTGCCATTTTTACAAAACTGGAATTTTTAAAGAGAAATTCTAGGCAACAAGTGAAAACATTTAGTGAGCTATTAAACTGTCTGTAAGTGCATCCTACTGACCTTAATCTGCGTTC